TGGTAGCCTAAGCATGTTGCCTTCACACCGATGGATAATCTTAAGTCTGGAGAAAGGCAGCCTGCGGTACTAGTTTGTAGCAATTGCAGGTGCTTTTAAAAACGAGCAAAATTGATCATGTTAAACTATGATTTTTTCCCCCATTTGAAGTAAAACTGTTGACTATGAGAATGAACCCTTATTGCTGATTTTAATGTAAAAATGTTTCTCTCTTTTTCCAGCTTTTGCTTTGGTTTCTAAAGATGTGAAGAAGGAGGTCAAACAGTCTAAGGTACGAATTGTAAAGTCAAATCTATTCCTCCTGAGATTTGTCTGTATTTTCTTTAATAGGAGCTGTAATGATTTCATCTTTCAATGAATTAATGAAATGTTGGTTAACACAGATTTTTGAACCCAAGCAGCAACTTACAGATAGGTTTGCTTTAAAAAAAAAAAAAAATCCTTTATAGTTAAGGCAGATCCACTTGGTTTTAAATTTCATTTTAAGAAAAAAGGTGCTTGGTAATGAAGCTAGACATTTTAGAAGTCTTGCTTGGATACCGTAGTTTTCTCCAGTCTTACTGCGTCTTAACCTTGGCCTTAATTTTCCCAGCCTGTGAAAGGATTCTGCTGTGTCAGGGTCACAAGAGCCTGAGCATCCCTCACCTTGAAGGTGGCACCGTCTGAGAGGGCATCCTGGGGACTGGTCAAGAGACCCCAAAGGTGACTGCCAGGCTCCTTGCACAGTCAGAACCCGAAACCAAGAGACGTGGGGGACCCATGGAGAGGGGATAGCACTTTTCCAAATCTCAGAGCTACTCCTTTGCCATCATTGGTCGCATTCAAGAACTGCATCTAAATTTTACCATTTGGGGTTGCGTTAGATCAGTTTAGCATATGAGAGAGAGAATATTTTAAAAATACGAGTTTTTTGTTTTTTTTTTGCGGTACGCGGACCTCTCACTGCTGTGGCCTCTCCAGTTGCAGAGCACAGGCTCCGGACGCGCAGGCCCGGCGGCCATGGCCCACGGGCCCAGCTGCCACGCGGCCTATGGGATCTTCCCGGACCGGGGCACGAACCCACGTCCCCTGCATCAGCAGGCGGACTCTCAACCACTGCGCCACCAGGGAAGCCCATGAGTTGTTTTTGTCACATTAATTCAGGCTCAGTTGACTCTATTTTTTTACCTCGCAATTTAGTATAAAAGCATTTTTAAATAGAATGTTTCTTTTACCATCAGAGTGTGATTGTGCTAACTATGCCATGGGATCCCTAAATGCGAATAATAATCCCTTACGGTTTTAAGATTCCTTGTGATTCATAAAGCGTTTTCAGGCATTTCATTTAATTTGATTTTCTCAGTGATGTTATTGCTAAGCAAAGCGGACATTCGCATGGAGAGCAGAGAAAATGTACCCTTGGAGAAGTTAAGTGACTTGATCGAGGCCACGTGACTGTTAAAAGGTGAAGTTAGAATCCAAATTCTCAGACTCCTTGAATTTTTCACACTGCAATTTTGTATTACATTGTCGTGTGTGTTTGGCAATAATGAGGCTCATTTATAATGAACTTAAGGATTATTAATAGGGAATTAAAATTTTGTGTAATAAATTTAGAAATTAGAGCCCATTCTTTCAAATGGAGGTTTTTACTAATCTTTTCAAAAGAGGAAATATATATATATCTATTTGGCCTTAAATACATATATAAATAGAATAGAGATAAGGTGAGTCCTATATCTTAGTGTCATGTTTCATGCAAAAGTATTAAAGCCCTTGAAAAATGCCATCAACCCCATCTGTGCTTAGGTCCGCAGAGCCGAAAAGCCATTAATCCAATGAGGAGCGGCAGTGATAAAATGTCCACTGTAGCCCATACCCAAGGCTGGGAGATGGAGGAGAACCAATTTGTCCAAGGTCATCTGTAGATGAACCTGAGATAGGAGTTAAGGCTCTTTCCAATAACCGCATGCATCCGGGATTATCATTAGTTTATCACTCTTAGCAGAACTGATCGGGATCTGACACCGCTGCCCAGAAGGCCGCCTTCCGTCCTGCTCACTGCACTGCTCGCTTTGGTCAAGGGCTCTGGTTCCCTAGAACTAGGCCAGCGCTGCTCAGGGCTGGGGTCCTTCCCCAGACCGATCAGATTCGCTGGTTGGCATCTGGTGGCTTCGTACCAGAATCCTAAGGCTGCCAGTGCGCTGTCATGCTGCCCGGGGCTTGCCCTCTGGCCCAGGCTCCCCTCCTGGGCTCCTGGCCCCTGGCTCTGTCAGATTCTGACCCACCCCAGCTTTCCGTGGAGCCTGCCTACCCAGGTTGGGGCTCAAGCTGCTACCTCAGCCAAGCCACCAAACTGTCTTCCAGTTGCACGTTTGCCCGGCCCTACATTCTGTGCTGGCTTGTGATCCTGGACCCCGTGGGACGTAGGCTTAGAGCCGGGCTCTGGAGCCAAACTGCTGTGGTTCACGGCCCTTCTACAACCCTGACCCCCTGCGGGACTCACCAAACCTCACTGAGCTCATCGTCCTCGTCTGTAAGACGGGGTAACAGGACTGCCCTCAAAAAGCTGTTTTGAAGATGAAGTGGGTGTGTGTGTCTGCCACTTAGAGCAGTGCCAGTTCCTGTTTAAATGTTGACCTGCTATAACAGCAAGAAATGTCTTATGCAACCTTTCAAGAGGTTCCCACACAGATCAAAGTAACGGAGGAACCATAGACCTTCCTGCTTTTATCAGTTAAATGTCTTTTCTGGCGGTTGTTGACTTCATATGAAGTGGATGAGGAGGAGGATAAAAAGGGTAGGAGCTAATAATTACTGAGCGTTTGCTTTGGGCAGACATTACGTCATCTAGCGAAACCCTCACAACACCCCTGGCAAGTAGGTCTTGTAATTGTGATTCCTGTTTCACTGAAGCCGAGCCCTGAACTAGTGCATGGTAGAGGCAGAATTAGAGCACGGGCCCAGCTTACAACAAATGACCACATCTGATTCATTCATTTTATTCGAGATCTAGGGGGTGGTGACTGTTTGCGACCGAGTAGAAGATGCCAGTTTACGTCTCTTTCTTCTTAAAAGATGTCATAACAAATTCTTTGTGGTTGTTTTATCTTCTTTTAATGAAGGATTTATAAACTGAGCATCTCATATATGGATTGCAAATGTTGAAATCTATCGTGCCTTAAAAATAAAACCTGTACGGAAGGGTGACTTGGATTTGTCTTTTCCTGGCCAGGGTAGGAGCTGTCTGGGGGGTAGGTGCCCTGGTAGCAAATGTCATTCCTGTCTGAGTAGCAATCCCGTTGACTTAGAAAACTTTGACAGTGAGCACATTTTGATGGGTATTGATAGTCAGTGTCAGAAACAGAGATAATAAAACAAACCGTGTGTTTCTTCTTGGGAAGAGCTAAGCCTTTTCACGAGGGAAGCTGGAGACAGAATTGTAAATGTTCTGTCAATTCGTTCATTTAGTCTCATTTTCTTTCTCAAAGGGGAAATTACTGCAGACCATTCTGGTTCCGTTTCAGTTCACCTCATGCAAGTATTTCCTGGATATTTTATTTTTACAGTTTACACGTCTTAGCTATTGTGTCAGGCAGTCGGAGCCTCAGTGCTTAATAACAGATAGAAAGCTGTGGAATTTTGGTTGATTTTCTTTGGTTTTACCAGGGCATCTGGTAGAAAGTCCAGTTCCTGTTCCAGCTTGTTTAGTCTGGAATCGCTGAGTTCAGGATAGTTTTTGTGTTCTACTTGTGGATAAAGGTGACTTTTATTGTAGGTATTGCTCTTAGTGTACTCTCAAAATATATTTCCATCTAATGACACGTATTTTCCGAAGAACGCCTCTGGAGGAGGACCGGGCACGCATTACCGGTGGGTGTAAGGAAGGAACGCCGGAAAGGAGAGAGAGACCTGGATTTTAATCCTGGCTCTGTGGCTGGAATGGCTGTTGGAGGTTGGGCAAATCCTGTATCTTTCTGAGCCTCCCTTACTTTCAAAAGGGGAGTGTTGGATTGGATCATCTCCTGTGCTATTTTTTAAAAATTGTGGTAAAATACACAACATAAAATTTACCATTTTAACCTTTTTTTTTTTTTTGCGGTACGCGGGCCTCTCACTGCTGTGGCCTCTCCCGTTGCGGAGCACAGGCTCCGGACACGCAGGCTCAGCGGCCGTGGCTCACGGGCCCAGCCGCTCTGTGGCACGTGGGATCTTCCCGGAACGGGGCACGAACCCGTGTCCCCTGCATCGGCAGGCGGACTCCCAACCACTGTGCCACCAGGGAAGCCATTTTAACCATTTTTTAGTGTACAGTTCAGTAGTGTTAAGTATATTCATACTGTTGCACAAGCAGTCTCCAGAACTCTTTTCATCCTGCAAAACTGAACCTCTGCACCCAGTAAGCCACAATTCTCCATCCCCCTCCCCCAGCCCCCCACCACCCTGCTTTCCATCTCTGTGAATTCAGTGGTCCTAGGTACCTCATGTAAATGGAGTCATACCGTCTCTGTCTCTTTATAACTGGCCTATTTCACTTAGCATAATGTCCTCGAGGTTCGTCCATATTGTAGCAGATGTCAGAATTCCCTTCCTTTCTAAGACCGTTGTATGGAGGGACCACATTTTCTTCATCCATTCTAGTGCTATTTTTAAATCGAAAATCTCCAATTTTCCGTTATCCTCACCTGGCAGCCAAAGCTGTGGCCTGGCAAGGAGAAGGCAGCCTGGCCCCAGGGGAAGCCGAGGGTTCCCTCCCCGAGCGCAGGCCATGCTCCTGGCCAGAGGGGCAGTGAGTCCACACGCGCTAACCTAGGACGATAGCCTGGCTCTGCTTCAGCACATGTAGGGAAGTGGCTTGAGCTTTCCAGTCTTCTTTTTTTTTTTTTTTTTTTGCGATACGCGGGCCTCTCACTGTTGTGGCCCCTCCGGTTGCGGAGCACAGACTCTGGACGCGCAGGCTCAGCGGCCATGGCTCATGGGCCCAGCCGCTCCGCGGCACGTGGGATCCTCCCGGACCGGGGCACGAACCCGTGTCTCCTGCATCGGCAGGTGGACTCTCAACCACTACGCCACCAGGGAAGCCCTCCAGTCTTCTTTAGTGGCTCTTCTGAAAAGAGTTTTATCAGGATTAGGTAAAGTGTCACTTGATCCCGAGGTACAGCAAATCAGTATGTAACTCTGAGGCTCTTCTCGACTCGGTGGTATTTCTGTTCTTGAGACAAAGATAATTTCAGAAAATGCTACCGAAGGTGGCCGCTCCCCTGTGTTCCTCCCCCTCTCCCCATCTGCTGTCACGGTCCCTCCTGCATCCTAAGAGGACACATCTCTGTGGCAGTGTCTTGGCTTTTAAGCTGTTCCAGTTTTGGTGATAAAGGCTCACAACTGCACTTCTTGTTGCAGTCTGTGAAGAAGATGGAGGGGTATTTGCCACCGTCCATTTATCATAATTATAGCATGTACCGTTGCAAATGGAAAGGGGCAGTTAGAGAGAAAATTCCTTCTTCCAGAGAAGACAATGAAAGTGGCAGATTTAGCTGCTGACACTCTGTGCTTTGTCGGAGAAGTCTTTGAAGAGCTCCTCCCGGATTTAATCATGATCAGGATCAGGTACTTCTGTGCTCATGTGCCCACGTCCAGATTTCTGCGTCTGAAGCTCTGCAGCTCTGAGACGTCCCTTCTGTGCTCATGAAATCTCATGAGCCCGAGGCTGACCCCCTCCACGGTCCTACTCAGGCCCTCAGGGCTGCTTCTCAGGTAGGAGAGAACACGGTGGTGTCATTCTTTTTTTTTTTTAGATGTACCACGCAAGCACAATATTTATTTATTTATTTTCTGGCTGCGGTGAATCTTCGTTGCGGCGCGTGGGGTTCTCTAGTTGTGACGCACGGGCTCAGTAGTTGAGGTGCGCAGGCTTAGTTGCCCCGCGGCATGTGGGATCTTAGTTCCCCGACCAGGGATCGAACCCACGTCCCCTGCATTGGAAGGAGGATTCTTAACCACTGGACCACCAGGGAAGTCCTGGTGGTGTCATTCTTGATGGCAGTGCGTCTGAGCCCCCAAAATGTTAAATATGATAATTAGTAGAGCCCATTTACCTGAGGAACACACAACTAGAATTGGTACTGTCTCTGATATATTTGTAATGCTTAGCATTTACAAGTTTTTAAAATTAACCCTCCCAAGAGCATCATGAACCATCTTACTCGGGAAGAGCGAGCCTCACCTCAATTCAGTGACGTGCTTAGGATCACATCAGAGAGGAACGGCCCCATAGGAATCTTCTGCTGTGATGCAGAAGTATTGATACGTTGTTGCTGCCCCCCCCCCCCGCTTAATTTTGGTCTCTTTCTTTAGGGAAGCATTTCCAAGCTCTCATTTTCAATGTCTACCCCCAAATGTTAATATGTACCATACATATGTATTTGGTGTATTGCTAGTTTTGTTATGTGACGAGATTTATCTTTTTCTCTTTTATTTAAAATACAGAATTTGGAGAAAAGTGGTATATCAGAGAAAAATGACGTAGGTGAGTAATATTTCTTTTTTAACTTAAGAGTGTGTATCCAGGTGTACTTCTTGTAAATTATATTTCAGTGAAGTGAATTTTCTTTTCTGATTTTATTTATGGGATAAATATTGTGGTCCAAATAGGCCGTCTTTGGCCCAGCCCGGTGTTTACCCTCATGAAGACACAGGGAGAACACTTTTCAGATTGACATATTGGAAGTAACAGCTAATATGTTGGATTGAATTCCCTCGGCCACAGTTTACTGAGTTGCCAATGAGGACAGATTCCCATGCCAGGGGGGCCGCTGTGAGGGCGCAGAGGCAAATGAGACAGAGGCTGTTCTTAGGGTGGCACACTTCGCGGGATGAAGGGTCAGCTGTGGCCTTTGCTCACGTGCCCTCCGCTTGGAGCCGGGTCGCCACTGCTGACCTGCAGGCAGCATGCCCGTCCCCTTCGGGTCAGCTTGGCAGCCGCGTCTTCTGTTAAAACATGGGGCGAGGCTGCTCCTGGCTGCCTTGCAGACACACTGTACCCGCCACACAGCCCATCAGCACTCATGTCTGCACTCCCTTTTACACACATCTTTCTCCCCATGTATTGTGAGCATCTTCAGGGGTGTGACCATGAGTTCAGATTCGGATTCCGTGGGCAGTGGGCCCCAGGGTGTTGATGGGAGGGCAGGACCGCGCCTCTGTGTTTTGGGTCTCTTCCTAGAGGGTGTGAACTTGATCATTGTCAGTCATCCCAGGGTGGGCCATGGAGACCTGGGAGGTGGGCCTTTGGACGGGGGAAAGGGACGCTTTCCTTCCTAGGCCCTCCTTGCCTGGGCCTGGGTTCTGAGGCGTCTAGAAGATAGGAGAGGCCCCCCTCCGGGTGGCAGGGTAGGATGGCCTGTGCTGGGCCTGGGTGTGCGGGGACCACAGGGGGTGGGCTGGAGTCTTCGGATTTGAGAGCAGCAGTGTTTAAGGAGCTACAGGGGTTCATTGCTCTGCCTTCCCTGCATTACAACACCCTGTGTGGCTGAGCCTCTACTCACGGGAGGAGACTTAAAATCCTCAGAGATTTTACCTCTGCGGCCAACCCTTGTGCATTTGGGCATTTGGCTGTGTGTTGATTTTGTGGGAGCTGGTGGGCCTACTCGTAGTAAGTGGTTCTTAAATGAACAATGGCCCTGATCTGGAATATGGTCTTGAACGTACCTGGGGAGCTGCCTGAGCAAGTGAATCTACAGTCTCCAAGTTGCAAATGGCAAATCCAGTGATAACTGAACTTGGTATCAGTTCATCTGAAAAACGACAAAGGGAGCTTATTTGCTACAGTCTTAACGTCAGTCTACAGGACCGGGATGGCGGTGGGGCTACTAAAGCAGCCATCCCAGCAGAATCAGTGCCTGGATCCTGGTCTCACAGTGCTCAGGGCTGGGTGACCGACTCCAAGCGTGGGGCAGTCTTTTTTCCTCTTTTGACTCATTGCCTAATCAGTACATTCACTGGTGACCATGGTTCTCACCAAGTACGACATCCCTCCAGTGGCTCTTCCTGTGTGTGTGTGTCCATCCCCCAGCCTGAAGTCCCAGGCACTTGTTTATGCAGCTTTTGTCAGAAGACCATCACATTGATTTCACATCAGAAAAACACCAGCGTGAGATAATTTTTGACCGGGAGAGATTAGTACTTAGTGGAATGGTTGGTGCATGGTATATACTCAGAAACAGGAGAATTAGAGAACCTTTGATTGCTTTTTCTTTTTGTGAATTTTTGAATTGTATTTTATTTATTTTTTTGTACAGCAGGTTCTTATTAGTTATCCATTTTATACAAATTAGTGTATATATGTCAATCCCAATCTACCAATTCATCCCATCGCCCCCCCCCCAACTGCTTTCCCCCCTTGGTGTCCATAAGTTTCTTCTCTACATCTGTGTCTCAATTTCTGCCCTGCAAACCGGTTCATCTGTACCATTTTTCTAGGTTCCACATATATGTGTTAATATATGATATTTGTTTTCCTCTTTCTGACTTACTTCACTCTATGACAGTCTCTAGATCCATCTACGTCTCTACAAATGACTCAATTTCGTCCCTTTTTATGGCTGAGTAATATTCCATTGTATATATGTACCACATCTTCTTTATCCATTCATCTGTCGATGGGCATTTAGGTTGCTTCCATGACCTGGCTATTGTAAATAGTGCTGCAATGAACATTAGGGTGCATGTGTCTTGTTTTTTTTTTTTTTTTAGTGGTACGTGGGCCTCTGACTGCTGTGGCCTCTCCCGCTGCGGAGCACAGGCTCTGGACGGGCAGGCTCACCGGCCATGGCTCATGGGCCCAGCCACTCTGCGGCATGTGGGATCCTTCCGGACTGCGGCACGAACCCGTGTCCCCTGCATCGGCATGCGGACTCTCAACCACTGTGCCACCAGGGAAGCCCGCATGTGTCTTTTTGAATTATGGTTTTCTCAGGGTATATGCCCAGTAGTGGGATTGCTGGGTCATATGGTAGTTCTATTTTTAGTTTTCTAAGGAAGCTCCGTACTGTTCTCTATAGTGGCTGTATCAATTTACATTCCCACCAACAGTGCAAGAGGGTTCCCTTTTCTCCACACCCTCTCCAGCATTTGTTGTTTGTAGATTTTCTGATGATGCCCATTCTAACTGGTGTGAGGTGATACCTCATTGTAGTTTTGATCCGCATTTCTCTAATAATTAGTGATGTTCAGCAGCTTGTCATGTGCTTCTAGGCCATCTGTATGTCTTCTTTGGAGAAATGTCTATTTAAGTCTTCTGCCCATTTTTGAATTGGGTTATTAGTTTTTTTAATATTGAGCTGCATGAGCTGTTTATATATTTTGGAGATTAATCCTTTGTCCGTTGATTCGTTTGCAAATATTTTCTTCAATTCTGAGGGTTGTCTTTTTGTCTTGTTTGTAGTTTCCTTTGCTGTGCAAAAGCTTTTAAGTTTCATTAGGTCCCATGTGTTTATTTTTGTTTTTATTTCCATTACTCTAGGAGGTGGATCAAAAAAGATCTTGCTGTGATTTATGTCAAAGAATGTCTTCCTATGTTTTCCCCTAAGAGTTTTATAGTATTGGTCTTACATTTAGGTCTCTAATCCATTTGGAGTTTATTTTTTGTGTATGGTGTTAGGGAGTGTTCTAATTTCATTCTTCTACATGTAGGTGTCCAGTTTCCCCCGCACCACTTATTGAAGAGACTGTCTTTTCTCCATTGTATATCCTTGCCTCCTTTGTCATGGATTAGTTGACCATAGATGTGTGAGTTTATCTCTGGGCTTTCTATCCTGTGCCATTGATCTGTATTTCTGTTTTTGTGCCAGTACCATATTGTCTTGATTACTGTAGCTTTGTAGTATAGTCTGAAGTCAGGGAATCTGATTCCTCTAGCTCCGTTTTTTTCCCTCAAGATCGCTTTGGCTATTCGGGGTCTTTTGTGTCTCCATACAAATTTTAAGAATTTTTTTTCTAGTTCTGTAAAAATGCCATTGGTAATTTGATAGGGATTGCATTGAACCTGTAGATTGCATTGGGTAGTATAGTCATTTTCACAGTGTTTATTCTTCCAATTCAGGAACATGGTATATCTCTCCATCTGTTTGTATCATCTTTAATTTCTTTCATCAGTGTCTTATAGTTTTCTGAGTACAGGTCTTTTGTCTCCCTAGGTAGGTTTAGTCCTAGGTATTTTATTCTTTTTGTTGCAGTGGTAAATGGGAGTGTTTCCTTAATTTCTCTTTCAGATTTTTCATCATTAGTGTATAGGAATGCAAGAGATTTCTGTGCATTAATGTTGTATCCTGCAACTTTACCAAATTCATTGATTAGCTCTAGTGGTTTTCTGGTGGCATCTTTAGAATTCTTTATGTATAGTATCATGTCATCTGCAAACACTGACAGCTTTACTTCTTCTTTTCCGATTTGTATTCCTTTTATTTCCTTTTCTTCTCAGATTGCCATGGCTAGGACTTCCAAAACTATGTTGAATAATAGTGGTGAGCGTGGACATCCTTGTCTTGTTCCAGATCTTAGAGGAAATGCTTTCAGTTTTTCACCATTGAGAATGATGTTTGCTGTGGGTTTGTCATATATGGCCTTTATTATGTTGAGGTAGTCTCCCTCTATGAGCACTTTATGGAGAGTTTTTATCATAAATATGTGTTGAATTTTGTCAAAAGCTTTTTCTGCATCTATTGTGATGATCATATGGTTTTTCTTCTTCAATTTGTTAATATGGTGTATCACATTGATTTGCATATATTGAAGAATCCTTGCATCCCTGGGATAAATCCCACTTGATCATGGTGTATGATCCTTTTAATGTGTTGTTGGGTTCAGTTTGCTAGTATTTTGTTGAGGATTTTTGTATCTATATTCATCAGTGATAGTGGTCTGTAATTTTCTTTTTCTGTAGTATCTTTGTCTGGTTTTGGTATCAGGGTGATGGTGGCCTCATAGAATGAGTTTGGGGGTGTTCCTTCCTCTGCAATTTTTTGGAAGAGTTTGAGAAGGTTGGGTGTTAGCTCTTCTCTGAATGTTTGATAGAATTCACCTGTGAAGCCCTCTGGTCCTGGACTTCTGTTTGTTGGAGGATTTTTAATCACAGTTTCAATTTCATTACTTGTGATTGGTCTGTTCATATTTTGTTTCTTCCTGGTTCAGTCTTGGAAGGTTATACCTTTCTAAGAATTTGTCCATTTCTTCCAGGTTGTCCATTTTATTGGCATAGAGTTGCTTGTAGTAGTCTCTTAGGATGCTTTGTATTTCTGAGTGTCCGTTGTAACTTCTCCTTTTTCATTTCTAATTTTATTGATTTGTGTCCTCTCCCCCTTTTTCTTGATGAGTCTGGTTAATGGTTTATCAATTTTGTTTATCTTCTCAAAGAACCAGCTTTTAGTTTTATTGATCTTTGCTATTGTTTTCTTTGTTTCTGTTTCATTTATTTCTGCTCTGATCTTTATGATTTCTTTCCTTCTGCTAACTTTGGGTTTTGTTTTTTCT